TAAAACTTGAATGAGTTCATAAAAACACGAGGCGTGTAGATTGATCAACAGAGGCTGATCAGAACCAAGGTATATAAACAACAACTAGCCTTTTGTAATCATAGTAAATGTAAAGTCAGTATTTGACAATAAACGTAAAATCATCAACAAGCATTTTCTTTCGATGAAGCATTACGAGTCTCATTGTCACAAAATTTCGTAACAACTAAATCAACTCGTGCAGTAAATTGGCAATAAATGTACTAAAGCATTAGAAAACTGGTTATAGCTAGTTATTCAATTAAAATTTGCCAATGTATATAACCTTGAGTTCATAAAAGCAGGAGGCGTGAAGATTAATCAACGGAGACTGATCAGAACCGTTCGAAGCCAAATTCGAGTTGGGTTCAAGCTTGCAACGAACAGGTGATGAAATTGTTTGTAGAACAGAGAGAGGATGACACCGTTCGCTATTTTGAGATATGTGATGGATCCGTATCTCGTTGTTTGGGAACTGAAAATTCTGATCCTTAACCTGAACAGTCTCCAGCTCTCCTAAACACGTTTCTCCATGAAACACAACCGATTTGAACCCTAAAAAACTCATCGTAACAGAGCTTAATCTCGCAAAATCGCAAAATGTGATGAATTACTGGAGGAAAATTCACTGAAAAAATAGAAAAAAATTAGGAAAAAAAAGAATTTTCTCTTTCTTCACTCCATTGCTGTGTACCTATTTCTCTATGTGTATTTTCTCTCTCTAGAGCTGGCGCGCTCTGCTTATGCTTTTCTTTTCTCGCTCTATAAGCAGCGGTTTCGAATGAATGGGGTGTGTGTAGGTATTTATAGAAAAACTGAGTGGGGTTGGTTTATAATTGGTCTTAATTTTGTAAGAATTTTACGGAAAAACCGGAGGGTTTCGTATGGATTTTATCTGGTTCAAGGCACGCATGAGATGTGTGAGGCTCGTAAGGGTTTATTGTTCTACGCTCTGGCGAACGGTTAGGATGTTTATGTTTTGATGTTGCGTGACCATAACCGTTGGATCAATGTCAATTTGATATTATGGTGGAGACGCGTCTATTTTATATTACTCCCTTATTTAGTAGGAAGTATTTGGTTAGGTTACTCATTAAGTAGTGTTGTAATTTGTAATGTAACAGCAATTATAATTACCAAAAAGAAAGAAAAAAATTATAGAACTGCTATATTTGTGTGTGTGTCTATAGATTTATCCTTTTTACCCTTTTTTGCATAGAAATTTTAAAAAAATTTGTTAAAAATCAAATTAGATTATGTATCAGCTAATTTATTTCATTGTCTATCGGCCTGTGATGCTTAATGTCTTCCGCTTATTTTTAATAAAAAAAATCGGATTAATGTTAATTCAAATTCGATTTCAATTTGAGACTCAATCTGGAGCTAATTTATAGGTTTAAGATTGACGAGGTATAAATAAGAAGCCAACGCTTGATCGACTCTAGTATTTAATAGCAAATGCGACTTTGAAGCAAATCAGATTATGATATCAGCTAATTAATTTTGTTTTCCATCTAGCTATTGATGCCTAATATGTTCCCACTGCTTGTAACATAAATCAAACGAATCCATGTTGCATTAGATTCGATTTCAATTTGCGTCTCAATTTTAAGACAATAACCAAGTTTGAGATTGACGAGATACAAATGAGAAGCCAACACATGGTCAATTCTAGCATTTAATGGCGCGTGCAATTGTACTTATCAATATTTACTCACATTAGAGATATTTATTAAAAATAAATTATATTCATATATAATAAAGTACATCACATCGAATTAATGTTAACCAGGTTTAAAATTTGTTTGAGCTTCAATTTCGAGTTAATATCCGGATTTTAAAATTGACAAGATACAATGAGAGATGCCAACACATGATCTACATCTAAAATTTAATAGTACACATCAGTCTTTAGGTACGCACATTGCACGTGTTTCTCAGATTATTTATAAATCATTAAGAAACAACATTAATATTAGTAAAGTCGTGCTATAAAATAAAATAAAGAAGTATATATAAAAACTTAATTGGGTTACTAATAAAGTGTTGTGAATTTGTAATATAACAATTATAGAGCTGCTATATTTGTGTGTTTGTGTATAGATTTAACTTCTCTTTTCCTTTTCTGCAAGGAATTTTTTAAGTAACTCTATTAAAAATTAAATTAAATTATGTACTAGCTATAATTTATTGTTTATCTAGCTATTGATGCTTAATGTGTTCCACTTATTTGTTCTATAAATTTGTCGATATAACGTTAAATCAGATTCCATTATAATTTGAGTCTCAATTTGAAGTTAATTTTTATGTTTAAAATTGACGAGGCATAAGAAATCAAAGCATGTTTTACTCTAGCATTTAACGATGACTAGTATCGTACCCGCGCGATGCGCGGAAAGTGTTAGAGAAAGTATGTATAAAATATTATTGTGTTATTTTAAAAGCTAAATATAAATATTACGGTTAATAGAGGCAATTGGCACAATGACAAATGTAAAATTTTCTTTTCTATANACACTTAGTGTGTGTGTGTATATATATATATATATATATATATATATATATATATATATATCTGTGTGTGTGTGTGTGTTTGTGTGTGTGTGTGTGTAATTAATGTATAATTATAAATTTGATTGAAAAAAGATAAAGAATAAATATTGGCAGCTATTTGTATAAAAATCCCTTTATATATACTATATAAGTACTTGCATAATTTGCGGATTTTGTTAAGTAAGGAAAACAAAAATTAAAAGTTAAACATTTTTCATAGTATAATTTATGCGTTCATCATAATAAAGCATAATTAGCTTAAAAAAATCGTGGCTTTAGAACTTTATTTAAAAAGACAATGGTTCTAATAGGGATGCATTTGTTTATATATTGCAACAAAGTTTGAGTTGGTTGCTTGATTGAGTGATGTCCCACGTGGGAGACGTAAGATCACTTCCCCTTACCAGTAGCCTCGTAATGGAAAGCTAGTCGCACCGGACTTGCCTAATGCGATTTATATATCCTATATGGTTGGCGAACTATTGCATAATGAGCAGGTTATCAAGTGCGCATCTGAAAAGTAGCTGTTGAGGGTTTCCTGTGAATTGTAAAAAAAAAAAAAACCAAAAGGTGTCAGTTAGTTACTACTGTAACAGCTTAAAGGCCAAGTCCCCTATTCCTAAATGCTTATTCCAACTTTTGTATTATTCTCGTGTAGGGTTTCTTCATAATGAAGAATTTGTTTTTTTTCCAAAATATTTTTCAATTTTAATCTCTGAAAGTCGTATAAGATTTTTTCATGATCCTGTATTCTGCTCGTTAATAATGTCAGAAGAAAGAAGATTATAAAACATTTAATGATTTTTTGTGGATCAATAATCTAAAAAGCATTATAGTTTTCTTCATGCTTGAAAAAATATGCCGCATAGCAACTCCACTCATATAAGAATAAGTTAGTGTTATTCCATTATGTTAATGATTTAATGTAATACTATTATCAATAAATTATAGTAAAATGAAAGTTACTCATGTAAAAAAATAACAAACTTTGCTTAATTAAAAAAATTATAAATAGTTGTACAGACAGGTCTCCCACTCAGCTTCAAATAAAAAAACATAAACGCAAAAAGGTTTACTTGGCCAAACCTCTTGATAAATTTCAGTTAAAATACTACCTAAAGGTTGTCCAATTGAATCTATTAATATTGCTAATGCATGCCAATCTGATAGTTTCATCTGATCAATAGCATCAAATAGCGCATCTCTAGTAACATGATAATTAGCAATGTCTTCATTTAGCGAAGCCCTAAGCTCTCTAAATTTCTTTTCTCTTTCCCTTCGTGCTGCCCTTCGATCCCTTAACTTATTTTGTATCGCAATTGGGACATTCCTGATGACTTCAGTCTTTGAGTCAGAATGATTAAAGGAATAACGGCTGCGACTGCGTACCCTTATACGTTGTCCCCTTCTTTGAATTTGAGAACTCGCATTTAGAGTAATTCGAACGTGTCCTTTTTTAGCCATATCTGAAATATGACCAATGAAACAATAAGTAATGCTACAACATGTCAATGTTATAACATACGACATGCAAATTATTTGAACATATTGATGGATTTAAACAATATTTTGCAAAGACATTAAAAGGTGAATGAAGGACAAACATCAGTATTGGATATAAAGCTTCATTGTTTGAGCATTAACAGTTAAAAAACTTAAACAAAAGGTTGCTGAAGCTATTTCGAATATTACAGGACATCAGAACACACTGTGAAACAAATTGAGCAATTCTGAAAATTAAAGGCAAAATAGGAACTTCATAAGTTTTGGCAAATCAAGACATGTAACCACTCTGTTCAAAAGAGAAACGACTGTATTGTAAATAAAAGTTCAGTTGTTAATTCTGATTAATTACCTAAGAAGTATATTATAAGTTAGTATATTAATTACAATATAAGTATTTAGGTACGGAGCGTAATGTAAGTTAGTATATTAATAAGTTGACAACACGAATCTACTTGTACATACTAAATTACAATAGATGACATAAAATTTAGTAAATGTATGTCCATCATAATATCCTAAATTGCAAGTAAAAAAAGCTATAAAATCCAAAAAATAGTAATTTCATTAAATGACATAAGTTATTAGTTAAGTAAAAACTTATGGAAGTGGACGGTGAACATTGATAGAGCTTTTGAGCCATCCGAAATCGATGATAATTAATAAGAATGACGTTTGTTAATTACACAAAAGAAAAACAGAGATAAAAGAAGATGAAGTAGGAAATATGGATCATTTGTAAGCAGTGAACAAAAATGTAAATAGCAATTATGGATAAAGTGATATAAAGATCATACCGTTGTTATCGTGTGAAATTATTGAGATGACGCTATCGAGATTTTCCAGAACTAATTTGTACGTAATATCTTTGGAGTTTTTTCAGTTTTCGTTTTTCTATCAATTGTTCTTCTTTTACCGTCTCCCTTTTAATCTGATTTTATAATATCATGGGATGAAAATAGTGTGGAAGTGGGTATAGTGTGGAAGTGGGGTAGAGTCAGCCTTTCAGAGCAAGTATCCCGAACAACATTTAATCTATATTTATAAATAAGGATTACAGTTAGAACTATACGTAAAAAGATAGATATGAGGGTAGATACATGATTAAATATATGTAACCGTGATTTAAACTCTTCCGATTGAGGAAATGTAGGATTAATCCACAACTTTGATGTATTCCAAGTGTTGCGCACAGAATATGAATCTGTAAAAAATAATTATTAGTAATCTGTAATGAATAAGTTAGACAAAGTAATGTCAAATTTAATAGTTACATGTTACCTTGAAATTTATGGGCTTTTATGAGCTGCATAATAACAATAATACGCTGGTTGTTAGAACTTAAAAGGTGAGGTATAACTTGATCAACAAATTCGCCCCAGAATGTAGCAGATAACTTGTTCCTCCTGTCCAATAGAAATAGTGTATAATGTTTAGTATATCTATTTATCAAATCTATGATTAATCAATGGTTGTGTGTTTATTCTTACTCATCATCTTCTAGTTCGATATCCATATACTTCCTACTAATTTCACCTTGTTTTTGCTTTTGTACCTCACTAAAATTGACAATTTCTCCGATAACATCTAAAGAAAAAAAATGATGTTAAAATAAGTAGCATCAATCTATAAAAAAATATATGTAAAAATAAATTAAAGTAAACATAAATATTACCAAATAATTCACTCTCGTTGACATCAACTTTATTTATCAATTGATGATATGGTCGGAGATCAAAGATATTCATTGGAAATAGTGGATCAATGGTTTCAGCCACTGTTGTCCGTTGAGTAAACGTCAGCATCAATGTATGTTTTGTGGTGTTGAACCTCTCCTTGTTTTGGCAAACGATAAAGTTCGCCATAACATATAATCCATGCTCATTAATTTTTCTGTTGAAAATATGCAAAACAGACTTGCCAATAGAAGCATGTATACGATCGCCCTACAAAGAAATTACAATAAATAAATATATTACAAATTATTATAGTAATAGTATTTATATTAACTATACTTTTAAACAGTACAGTTAAACAAAATAATTTGTTACAGTAATAAAGGAAAAAATGCAGATTTGGCACTCATGCAAATTTACTAAAACAGAAATTCCATTCTAGTAAAACAGAATTTTGAAATACAAATCCTTGTAAATGTATCAACAGTTATACGGAATAGGAGGCAGAGCATTGCCAGTAAACCTGTTTTACAGTTGCAACTAAACCAAATATTCATATAACAATGTGGAAGAGCAAAATAAATCTGTCTATATTGAATATAACAATGTGAAAGATAAAAAGAAATGTATGTATATTGATATTTAAAGTTCAAACAGGAAAAAGGAATTAGGTAGAAAAAATACTAATATGCTCTTCTTTCCGTCAATCTGATTCCATAACCATTATTTCGAATGTACAAATAATAAAATGCGTGCATTTGTCAAAGGGAAAACAACAACTACAAAGTATCCACAGTTATACGGAATAGGAGGGCAATAACATATTAAAAATACCTTTTCATCTTGTAGAACCAATTCAATCGAGAATATAGAGCCAGGATTAAAACGATCCGGTTTTTCCCACATACGGACAACCCGAACTTTCAACTTCCATTGCATCTTTGAAATGGTTATATCGTTGATGAAATCAAACTTAGCGGCCATCTTTTGACTAATCCGTAGATTATGTTGAAATCTTCGTAGAAAATCTACACCATAGAATTCAAGCAGGTGTAGGTAAGGAAGAATAAAAATTTTGCGGTTTGAGGAGCAGTTGGTAGGAAG